AAACCTAATAAAACCAACTCATTATGTCATTAGAAAAATATCTAAATAATTTTATAGATAAGATATATTAAGAAAACAAAACAAATGATGAATAATGATTTTTTACAAGAATTTTTACTTTTTAAAAAATTTAATTAGAATGATTTATTAAGTTTTAAATCTTTTAAAATTATATATTACTTTGTCGCTTTTAGTTGATATTATTAACACATAAATAATATACTTACTAATCATAAGTTGAAATGCTTAATGTAATTAATCAAATAGCAACATCTTAAAAAGAATTTGGAATTGATTTATGTCTATAAATGTGCCAATTTATGTAGATATGGTTGTTCATACACAATATTTTCAGAAAATAAGAGCGATAACTACAATAAATTTAAAGTCAAAGTATGTAAAATTCGACTAAATACTAGATTACAGAGAATATTACAAAGTACTTAAAAACTATATAAATAGACGCTCACGTTATATTCTGTAATTATTTTTACAGATATTGCCACAGTAAAAAGGCATTAGATAAGCATATATCAGTCAAGAAGCTGTTGTCATGCCAACATCTTAAATAAATAGCTACTACCGTGTTAAAAATACATTTCTGTGATATATTAAACTTAAAGTATTAATTTACATCAACTAATCTTCTTCAAATAAAATGTCAGAAGAGCATATTTTATTTTTGGAAATTATTTTTAATGAAGAGAATCACACTGCAATAAAGGAGAGCTAAACATGGAACTGATATCAGTTTTTAGTAAAAAAAAAAAGAATCCATCCAGTCAATTTTAATTCGGATTAAAATAAAGCAAAGTATTTTGCTTATTGGAAATACATAATTTACTCTATTAGCTAGGAATTAAAATAAAAAGCTCAAGGAAGTTTTTTTTTTTTTTTCAATTTTAAAAATTAATTTTAAACCTTAGTTATCGCGAATCTATGGCGGTACCTATATTTATATATGTGAATGTGGGAACTTTTTGTGTAATATACATACCTCTCTTCCTATCCCCTCTCTAATTGTCTGTCTCTACCGCCCTACACACATAGACATACGCATATATATATATATATATATATATATATATATATATATATATATATATATATATATATCAAAAAAAATATTATACGAACTTTGGTTGGCGGGTTTCACACACCAAAACAAGGACAAAAGGGATAGTTTTAAAATAAATGCATTATGGCGATAAGAAACTCCTGAACCGTGATGAATAAAATCCTCCTTGGAGAAAGAAATGTCTTAACTCAATTTCCTGCTTTCTTGTAGGTTTCTCCATGGCCGAATAAAGATTTGTAGAAGACAACTCTTGTTTAATTAAACCAGATGTATTTCTTCGCCTTGTCTCTGAATTCCTTGACTTCGTTATGGAGAGTCGTTAAAATACTGTGCAAGTCGCATAAGACTACACATTTTTATTTGCATTCCATACGGAAATATAAAGTTAGTAATAGTCGCAGTTGATTAACGTGTCAACAACTATCATCGTGTATGCATGCATGGATGTACCTCTCTCTCTCTCTCTCTCTCTCTCTCTCTCTCTCCATATAAACATATGTTGGCAAATCTTTCGTTTTTCATTTATTACCCTTAAAGTTTACGGTAGTCGCTTTTAAAAGTACCATCAAAGATATAATCCGAAAATGCTTTTACAAATGTGGGGGGGGATTCCTGACATCAAAATAAAGTAAAATGTCCATATAAATATTTGTCCAAATGATCATCG